AATCACTTCAAGAGACCGAACCTAAGAGGAATTGGCCTTCCTGAGGCAGAGAGAGAAACAGAGGCCACACTGGAACAAACATTTCATGAAATCATTCAAGAAAACTTCCCTCATCTCATCAAGGATGAAAAAACTCAAACACAAGAGATTCAGAAAACCCCTGCAAGACAACAAATGAGGAGACCAACTCCCAGACACATAATAATTCACCTAAACAAAGTAGGTATAAAAGAAAAAGACTGTAAGAGAAAAAGTTCAGACTACCTACCAGGGAAGACTAATTAGAATAGCAGCAGATTTATCTACAGAAACCCTCCAGGCTAGGAGAGCTTGGAGCCCTATCTTCAAAGTTCTAAAAGATAAACAATTTCAACAGAGAATAACCTGCCCAGCTAAGCTAAGCTTCATCAGTGAGGGAGAATTGAAATTTTTCCCAGATATCCAATCCCTAAGAACCTATGCTGCCACCAGACCACCTCTACAAGAAACACTTAAGAAAGTATTGAACACAGAAGAAAAGGAAAAAAGAACAACAACGTTCTTCACAAGAGTACAGGCAAAAGATTTAAAACACACATGATGCAACTCTAAAACCAAAAGAAAGACAACACACAAACAGGAAGAACAACAACTCTGTAAGCACATTATGATAGGGATCAACTCTCACATTTCAATAATTAGTTTGAATGTGAACAGAATAAATGTACCACTGAAAAGACATAGAATGACAAAATGGATAAAATATCACCAGGCAAAAATCTATTGCCTTCAAGAGACTCACCTCACTAGAAAGGACACTCACAGACTCAAAGTAAGAAGATGGGAAACAAATTTTCAGGTGAATGGAACACAAAAGAAAGGAGGAGTCACAATCTTAATCTCAGACAAAATACCCTTTCAACTATCAAAAATTAAAAAAGATACAGAAGGCCACTACATAATGATAAAATGTTGAATCCATCAACAAGAAATATCCATCCTAAACATACATGCACCAAACATAGAAGCACCAACTTTCATAAAGCAGTTCCTAGGTAACTAAAAAAAGACATCGACTCCAATACTATCATATTTGGGGACTTCAACACCCCACTCACAACCCTAGACAGATCATCAAAATAAAAAATCAGCAACGAGATCCAAAACCTCAATGTGACTCTTGACCAAATGGACTTAATTGATACCTACAGAAAACTCCATCCATAGACCACAGAACACACATTCTACTCATCACCACATGGAACGTACTCTAAGATCGACCACATACTTAGCATAAGCAAATTTAAAAAGACCAAAATTTTACCATGCACCTTCTCGGACCACAGTGGAATAAAAATAAACATCAACACCAACAAGTTTAGGGTTCCCCTAAAATCCACAAAGACAATGACACTAAACACCATGATGCTAAACAACTCCTGGGTCAATGATAAAATCAAAACAGAGATTAAGATACCTGGAAACAAATGAAAATGAAGAAACATCTTACCAAAATCTCTGGGACGCCATGAAAGCTGTAGTAAGAGGGGAATTTATATCCCTACAAACGCACATGAAGAAAATGGAAGGATCACAAATTAACAGCCTAACAAGCCACCTAAGGAAGCTGGAAAAGCAAGGCCACAAAAACCCTAATTTCAGCAGGAGAATCCAGAACACCAAAATAAAAGCCCAAATTCAAGACATAGAAGACAAAAAGATCATACAAAAAAATCAATGAAACAAAAAGCTGGTTCTTCAAAAGGATAAACAAGATCGAAGGTCCCCTAGCTAGACTTACCAAGAAAAAGAGAGAAAAAGCCCAAATAAACACAATCAGAAACACAAAAGATGAAGTCACATCTGATCCTGAATAAATACAAAAGATCATTAGAGACTACTATGTACACTTGTATGGAAACAAACTTGAAAACCTTTCGGAAATGGAGGACTTTCTTTCATCACACAACCTGCCTAGGTTGAAACAAGAAGAAATTGAGACCCTAAATAGACGAATAACAATCAAGGAAATTGACTATGTAATAAGAAAACTACCTACAAAAATAAAGTCCTGGACCAGATGGCTTTCCAGCAGAATTCTACAAGACATTTAAGGAGGAGCTTATAGCAATCCTACTGAAGGTATTCCAGGTGATTGAGAAAGATGAAACTCTCGCCAAATCATTTTATGAAGCTAACATCACATTGAAACCCAAGCCAGGTAAAAACCCAACAAAGAAAGAGAACTACAGGCCAATATCTTTGATGAACATAGATGTTAAAATTCTCAACAAGATCCTAGCGAACCAGATTCAACAACACATCTCAAAAATCATCCATCATGACTAAGTAGGCTTCATCCCTGGGTTGCAAGGCCGGTTCCACATTTGTAAAACCATAAATGTAATTAAATACATCAACAAATGTCAAAACAAAAACCACATGATTATATCATTAGATGCAGAAAAAGCTTTTGATAAAATCCAGCACCCCTTCTTGATAAAAACCCTCGAACATCTAGGCATACGGGGAACATACCTCAAAATAGTAAAAGCCATCTATGAGAAACCCACAGCCAGCATACTCCTAAACTGATAAAAATTGGAACCATTTCCCCTGAAAACTGGAACAAGACAAGGATGCCCACTCTCACCCCTCCTGTTCAATATAGTACTGGAAGGCCTGTCTAGAGCAATCAGAGAAGAGAAGGCAATCAGGGGTATCTAAATAGGAAAAGAGGAAGTGAAGTTATCTCTCTTTGCAGATGACATGATCATGTACCTTGAAAACCCAAGAGAAAGCCGGGCTCAGTGGTTCAGCCTGTAATCCTGCGCCTTTGGGAGGCTGAGATGAGTGGATTGCCTGAGCCTGCGGGTATGAGACCCACCTGGGCAAATTGGTGAGACCTCATCTCTACAATAAAATCAAAAATTAGCCA